GCTGTTAGAAGCAGCAGTTATGTAGCTGAACAGACTTACCTGACACTTCCTGCCAGACGATGCTGAATGGTGTTCAGATGGAGCGAGTCTGGGGAGATCCCGCCGCTCAGTCAAAGCCGGGTAACATTTAGCCTGATGCCACTCGACACGTGAAGAGTTCCTACTTCAAAATGACTTCAGATTGAGGCGTCGCACAACACAGGGACAAATTACTGAGCTGCTCTGAAGCTGCGAGCTAATTTACACTCGATCGATGGAAGAGGAAATGAAACTGAATACTTTAAGAACAGGCAGGTTACAGCTTTCCATCCATCCTTCCTTCAGTGCTGCCTGTCTCGTATCAGCGGATATTTAAGGATAATCCAGCTGCAGACTGATGGAGTGAGTGGATCTGTCACTGTGTCCACGCACAGAGAGCCAGACTGCAGCTAAACCTTCAGCGCTGCTTCAGTTAACGTGTAAATCGAAGGTGTTACCAGGTGTTTTCTTCTGCATGACAAGGTTAATGGATGAGACTCCTCCTCCATCTGTCGTAACGTAACCACATAATTTCACCGTAATAACAACAAGGGTAAAATAACCGACCTGGTTTAAGTTTGTGAGGTCTTCCCTCTTCACGGATCTCACATTCGTGCAGAAACATGGAGCTGAGTCCTCGCTGGTGATTAAAGCGGTTTCACGTCAGCACGTCACACAGTCTGACTGTAGAGTGAAAATCCTGTTTTTAGACGCCACCTTCTCCAGTTTCTCCACACTGAAAACAACAGACAGCTCTCAGAGTTTTATATTCCAGACGATCGTTTCTGCTGCTTATCCAGGTCTGGATGCACTAGTCCATGTAGAGATGCCCAGTTCTTCTTCCTCCAGCTCGTCCAGGGGAATATTAAGACATTCCCAAGCCAACAGAAAGGTGGAATCTTCCCAGTGCTTCGTGTCCACCTCCTCCCAGTGGGACATGCCTGGAACTTGGATGTGGACGAGTATCGACTGTAGTCTGAGGCTCATCTGAAGGACCGAGCTCTTCACTGTCTCAGCTAACCTGCCACAGGTCCAGGTCTCAACGGCTTGGTCACTGCAAGAGCTGCACTCAGGTTATACTCGTATGGCTGCGTGACTCTAAGCCCCCCAGCTAATAACAGGCAATACTCCCGATCCTCAAGAGGCAGGGAAGCAGACCTCTCATCCACCGGGGGGGTCCCAGCATGCAGCAGCTGAACTGGCAGGAAACCCGTTCACCACCTCCCACGATGGGCACCTCCAGAGTCCGCCCTCTCTCCAGGAAACTGTTTCCACAGCCCAAACCGTCGCAGCTCGGATTCTTCCCTATCAGCGTGGTGATCAGTTTCAGTCGACCTTTGACCTCTGCCAGTGATCCCCCAGGACGCCCTCACTTCAGACGATGTTTATAGGATGAGTTTAGCCACACGGCGCTCATCCCAACATCGTTGTTTTATAGAAACAGCAGAACCTGAGTCTCTCTCTGCGTCCACTCTGAGTAAACTGTCGTCACCACAGCGCACATTACACAGGAAGCATAGTTTGGAGGGTCCTGGTGACATTTTCCTCCGAGGTCGAGGTAAAAGGAAAAGATTTTTTATCCATTATTCACTGGAATCTGTGGAGAGAGGAGTGAGTCAAACACCCAGGATGCTACAGACGGATGCTGAAGGCCGAGCACAGGTAAAAGGTTGCAGCAGAGCAACATATAGCGCTGCAGGACACACGGCAGGCAATGTGATGCAGGTGCAACAAGTTAGACCAGGTGATCACGCAGGAGGGCAGGAAGGAGGTGGGCAGCAACAGGAGGCGCAGGAGACATGAAGAGAGAAATAACTGAACGTCAGTCCACGCTTCTTATCGCCACTCGATGTGTTTTCAATAAGTGAAAATCCTTCAGAAGTTAAATCTCTTGGTTGTTTTTTTACATCAGTTTGCTGAAATGAAAATGTTTCATTATTCTGACAATAACAAACACAGTTAGGTTGTTTCTCACGTGTGTGAATGTGATTGGATAATCAGCTGGTGCAGAAACAGCTGATGAAAGACGAGAAGCATCAGTGAAACTGTGTGAAGCTCAAACTTAAATATTTAAAGTCGTTTGTCTGCAGATCATCAAGATGCACTCGTTCCTGGATTACATCATGGGAGGCTGTCAGATCCAGTTTACTGTGAGAGCACACACACACACACACACACACACACACGCACACACTGAAGGCTTTGACCTTTAACCCGAGCCCTAAAATCAAAAGGCCTCTCAAAGTGAAGACTGATTTGAAAAACCCTCAGTGTCAAAAACTGATTTGCTCACACACACACACACACACACACGCACACACACACTCCTTGTGCCTATGGTACGACAACTTTTCTCCGTGCCCCTGGTACACTGCGCAGAAACACCTTGCCCCCCCCCACACACACACACTCTCACACTCGGGTCATATTCGGGTTGCTGTCCTCTTCCTTTTTTCCATCACTATGTTCTCAGTTCTTGAAGCATCTCTGCTGTTACCATGGAAACAGTAACCAAGGCGACACGTTCAGCAGCCTCCGTGTCCCAGTTAGCACCTCGCTGGGCTCTCACTGGTATCTAACCAGTGAAATGACCGAGGAGAGGCTGCACGCCGCTGATAACGAGCTCAGGGTCCTGCAGCGTGTGGAGAAGCTCGAGAGCTTCAACGCTTTTTATTATTAAAACATCAGTAATCCAGTCGTTGTGTCCTGATCCAGTCTGTGTGTCCTGATCCTGTCTCTGTGATGATCTACAACATCCTGCTTCAACTTTCTAACAACAGAAAATCTGTTCTGCTTTATAAACGCTCACGCTGAGACTCTGAGACCGCTCGCTCCGATTCCTCACAGCGCTGAGCGAAGTGATAAAGACGCTGAACGAACCACAGCAGGCGCCGGGTTGATATCAGAGGCCACAGAGACGCACAAAGTGAGTGTATGGGACCAACCGAAGCAGGTGGATGGTGGTGATGGAGGAAAATGGGTGTGGCTTCACGCACAGCTCAGAGAGATGGTCGCTCCATCACACTGGAGACACTGACTGATATCAGCAGAATGAGTTCATGCCACAGCACATTTTATTTAGAAACACCGCACTGATGAATGATTCATGTGTAACATCAGCTGTGGTGGATCACTCTTAAACGACCGCCATGTTTGTGTGTTGGCGCTCTGCGTGTCCACTGGTCTGTGGGCTGCTCCAGTCTGTGCTGGGATCCACAGAAGTCCTAAAGATTGTTCACGCTGAAGTGACGGCGAGCGTTACGACCAGCGAGCATCCTCTTCTGATCTGTGATCTCGCCCTCGTGGACCAGCACGCAGCACCATCTGGACGTAAACAAACTCCTCGATCCTCGCTCTGATCCGGAGCAGACGGACTTCCTCCAGTCCCGACTGAACAACCAATCAGACGGCAGCAGCTTAGAACTGTGCGAACATTTCAGCTCATGATTAATAACCAAACTCAGACGTGTGTTTCACGTGATCCCACGCTTCTCTGCAGCGGTGCGTCCAATCGCTGCTTTTCTCCGTGAGGCCCGGAGCTCGCGGTCGTCTGTGGAGACGTTTGTTCAGCGTGTCTGCAGGAAACGAGCGCGGGACTAATTTCACTGATGAAAGCGGCTCCGTGGGGGTGGGAGCACTTTCACTCTGCGCCTCCTGGACGTTAAATGTTTGTTTCTTTGTGACTCTTCAGGACTTTCGCTTCTCTTCAGCATGAATGTGCATGCTTTACATCCCGTCCTGTTTCTAATTCTCCGTCCACGTGTTGGAGTTTCTCTCAGCCTCCCTAAAAGTTTCTTTTTTGTCTTTGGGTTTGTTGTCGCCTCCCCGGGGTCGAAGTGTTTCTGTCCCTGCATTTAGTTTGGTTCTCCTGTTCTTTCCTCTTTTACTTTCTTTTCTCTATGATTCTTTATTTATCCAGGTAAACGTCTCATTGAGATTAAAAGAAACGTGGTCGAGAGGCCAGAAAACTTAATGTTTTCTCAAGTCTTTGAGTTTTATTTCTCCCTCGTGATCGTCTTGTTTGTGTTACAGGCTGTCTCTTCTTCTCTAATTAGCCTTCAGAGTGTGTGTGTTTCCTTTGTCCTCATTACAAATGTGTGCAAACGAAGCTTTAGCTTGAATCCGTGTCCTGACTTTGATGCTGTGGCTGCAGGATCAGCCTGAACCCTCGACCCTCCACGCTGTGCTGACGGCTGGTTTGAGTGTTTTCTCCAAACCTTCTTCTTCTGCACTTT